ATGTGAGTTCGATAGTTTCATAGCCCATAGTATGATACTCTGATAATATCACGATATGGTGAAGCTCTAAAAGTCATACCATGATATAACAGTATCAAAGAATAACTTTCACTGTTTGATAGTATCATAGCGCTTTTTGGCTTTTTTTTTCCTAGATTCTAAGCAGCATACAAAGCACATTTTGTGGAAACAAAATAAATCTGTTGAATAAATTTATACAGAATATTAGCAGTAGTTTTTGTAGGTAATAGTAAACTCTATCAAAAAAGTTTTAAAATTTTCAATCAAAATTACATGTTATTCCGTATTACTGTCGTTAATTTTGTTATTATTTGAGCTTGTTTTTCTTTGAAAAGTTTAAGTTGACAGATTAAACGTCAAAACAATAGCACAGTTTCTTCCAGCACGATAGCTGAAGTTATGAATCGAATGACTCATGGTTTCCATCTAACACTATATAGAAGACCATCTTCAAATTTTGCCTAAATAATTCAAACTAAAAGACTTATTTCCTTGTAATTATTTCTTCGCGAAATATGCTTTAAGGAAGCGTCTACACACTTCTGTCCTACATGCGCGTAAACCAATAAGCATAACGATGTAGAGAAGGATTAAGAAACTGCTATAGAAACGAATATCGTTCAACGTCAGTTATGTTTATTTTAATACTTATATTACCAAATATTTAGTCTATCGATTTGAGTTCTCAAAGTACGGTTCACGTACATATACGTTCGACTACTAAATTTCGAGAAGAAAAAGTATGTCAACAGCAGTGACTACGACTAGTATAGTAATTGTAGTTCAGAAAAAAATAAGAGATAATGATAAATTTCTTCAAACGTTTCTCGTAAGACGACAAAAAGATTTTTAATACACGCATAAAAAACTTTACAGCACGTCTCAATCTATGGATACAGTGGTTACCATGGACTGTTGAATAATTCAATACAACAACGAGTAGAATACATCCGTCTGTGTGTGTGTGTTTTTATAGTTTGTCGAAGCTATACGTGCTTGTTTGTTTTTTCCGAGATAATGTACTCCCCCGTTGATCAGCCCTTCAAGATCTTTTGCGCAAATATTAAAATGAAATTCTACTCCGAATTGGAACCACTAGTGGATATATTCTTATTGAACAATGACAAAGGACAACTTAATCCAGCATACGCTTCACTCTTTGATAAAATCATATCTAATGAAAAAGTGATTAATGTATTGTTGAGTAACAAACATGATAATATTACCAAATGTAAAAAATTTGTTGAAATAGCTAAAACAACGTCGAAAGGTAGTAAATTACATGTTGTTAGTCGAGCATTTGAAGCTGGTAAAATGTCGACATTTGAACAAAGTTTCAAGAAAGAATTATATGAAATGAGTAAGAAGAAACAAGTGAAACGACCTCCGTCGTGCTCACTACATGCACGTTATCACCAGGTAGAACGACAATTTTGCGAATTGGAACGAGAATATGAAGTTGTTAACTGTGATTTAAGACAAACTGAACAACAATTACATAAACAAAAAGGCAAATGTAAACAAGAAATTGAAAAAATTAATAGAGAACTAATTGAAACGAGGGCAAAGTTGGAACATTTTACACAGCATCAAAAGCCTCATTCTGAAGACAATAATCAACAACAACTGGCAGATCTAGAAAAAGAATTAGTACAAGTTCAAACGCAGATGAACAAATGTAAGCAACAACTGACAGGTAAGATAAAAGCTATTTTGACTGCAGTGAGATTTAAGATCAATATGGATTCTATCGATCTATTGAGAACTTCGAAGCGGCGCTGATTTCTGGTATTCTTTCTGAATGCACTAATCCACGAAATATCACTTTTATGAGAAGAAAAGACAATGTTGCTACAAAAAAGTTGTTTCGTCTATTAGACAAATTGGAACAAACTACCTTGAACAACCATCCTGAACAACTAAAGCAATTAAAACAAGAGAAGAAAGATTTGGAAGATCAATTATCTACAATGAGAGATGAGTTTAAAAAGGTGCAATTTCAACTCACATCTTGTCATCAGGAGTCCGAAGCATTCAAGAATGCTCATGATCAAAATAAAACTAATTTAGAAGAGAAACTTAATAAAATGAAAAAGAAGATGAAAAGCATTGAATCAGAATTGAATTTGTATAACAAAGAACGGGAAATGTCGCAACAGGTGTTAAATGATCTACGAGATGAATTAAATCATGTAAAAGAACAGCTTGATGAGATGAAAGCAAGAGAGCAAAGTTTACAAGAGAAATTAAAAATCAAGGATGATGAATTGAGAGAAATGAGACGTAGTTTAGATAAAGTACGATCTGAACTGGAAGTCTGTAATAAAGAACAACACATAATACAAGAATTGAGTGATGCTTATAAAGAGGAATTAACTGATTCGAAAGAATATAACAAAGAAAACGTAGGAAAAGTGGAACTTGAAGTAAAAGAAGTTCAACAGCATGTACGATATCAGGTTGTCAAACTAGATGAAGATATTCAACAGAAATTGCACTATGTCGTCGAGAAATTAGACATATGGCCTGGACAGTAGACATGCATACATCCATCACTGTAAAAAAAACGGACACGAATGAGCATCTAATTGCCAGTTTTATGTGCTCTGAATTGTTCGACTTCAACAGAGTTGTCTTTCGCATAAACATTGTACAAAAAAAACGTTACATGTTAGGATAGAAAAGAACCTCCCTATATAATTTATCTAGAGGGGAATAAACGAAAGTTGTGCAAAATACATAAGCCAATTTCGTATTTGATTGAATACAGCGATTAGAAAGTTCATGTTATCAAACAGTTACCACATGTTCACTTGCTATTCACCACACTCGAAGAGTTGTTTATCGGCCAAATAGAAATATCTCAGAATGAACTATCTCCGTTTCAAGGATTCTAACTACGCTTGAACGTCATCGATTATTGACTGGCAGTTCTTATCGACATATGCCACGACGAATTTGTTTGTTTGATTGTGTACAAGAAAAACAATAACAAATTAATGTCACACGACTGGTAGAGAACAGAAAATATTATACCACGTTATTTCCTTGTTTAGTAACGTTAACTCGAACGTATTCTTCCTAAAATAGATAATGTCAATTAACGGATATCTATTTAAAAATAGAAAATAAAACAACATTAGAAAAATGATGTTATAATCTTAAACAACAACTACAGCACTACTATTAGTTTGGTTGAATAACAATTCCCCCGAATCTTGCCTCTTGTGCCTGACATCTTATCCACGTTTTATCTTTCTCTTCTTGACCTTTTTTGTTTCCTTTAATGTAACATATCGTTGAATCATACACTTCTTTTTGATCAGTATTCGAATAATACCCGTGACATCCATATCCCATTGAATCCATATTATAAAACTCCACTGGACGACCATTCGGTTTGTCTCGAGCTCTGTAAACACATCGATCACAAATATGTCGAGGATAAAGTTGATATTTTGCTACTTGTCGATCACAAGTGGGACAAGGTTGACTTGAACGTTTATCTTGTTTAGCAAAAGAATCGTCATGATGTTCAGAATTTGATAGATAAGTTAATTTCGGTTTCGTAACATCGATTAAAGGTCGTTTACGTTCTGAAGAGCTAAAGTAGAAGAAATGAATTGACAAAAAAAATCAACCGAAGATTGAGACTTCCACCTAGTTAAGTTCATCATCGTCTTGCTTTTAGGAACAAGTGCTTTTGCAAAAAAAGATAAAAAATCTCCCTTGCACAATATTGGCTTTGATTGCTGATGTGAAATTGTTAATGTGTCACTAACAATAGACAATGATGAAATTGAATTAGCAATCGTAATCGGTTGAGTAGTTGTCAATTCTTCAAGTGTTCTAAAAAGAAAAAGGGAAAAAGTAGCATTTGATTAAGAAAATATACTAGTAGCAATTTACATAATTTCACCGTCATCTGTATCATTTTCAACTGATATATCTATTACTGTCGGTTTTTTCTCAAAAGCATTATCTTTTGATATGAGTCTAGCGAGTTGTATTTGTTTCTGAAGTTGTTGTTCGATTGCCTTTATTTCTGTTGTTTGAGTATCGTTAGATGACGGTTTAGTAAACTCAGAAAATATCGAAAGTGCTGCTCGTGTTTTTGATATACTAAACAAAATAGATTTCGGTAGAAATACAATCGCGTACAAAAACGCAAGACTTTCAATATAGACGATATATAACTTTGGGCAGATCACCGTTTTCCCGATGACTATTGCTCACTAAAAAAATGAGTAGTCTGTTTCTATTTGACATGACGAGAATGTGAATTTTTTCTCTGTAAGAAAGATCTATTTCTTTTCTACTTTAAACAACTTTCGAAGGTTTAATATTTTATACCCGAAAAGTAAGTTTTCTTCCATATGATCTTCGAGCGGTGATTTTTTCATCGTTCTATCGGATCTTCTTGCATATTGTTCACATCGTACATGAGTTGGAATCTTAGGTGGTTTTTTCGTTTGACCAGCGCTGGTAGTTGTTTGAACAATCGTGGATTGACTGGATGATGTTCTTAATATACTAAACAAATAATAATCATAAATTACTTTAATTTTTATGATAATAAAATGTAGTTTCTTCATGAGTTGTTCTACAAATCGTTAAATACATGGGAGAAACAAAAGTTTAGATACTCACCTGGTTAATTTTCCATTACCAGATGTTTTTGTTAATGATAACCGATACAAAGGGTTACTAAACGTTGTAGGTGTTGTTAAAGATCTTTCAGTGTGTTGTGCTTGCTGTTTTTGAACCGATATAGACGGTTTTAGTTGTTTTTGTGTCGGTGTTATTTGAATATCGATTTGATTAGATGTTGCTGTTCGATTTATTGGTTTTCTTATTCGACTAAAATATAAACGAACATGGATTTTTAACAGAATTGAAGAGACCCAGGTCAAAGATTAACGACCGTATACTATAGTATTTCGTCGTATTCTGACGTAAGCCCAGACAACGTATTACGCCCATCGTAAACAAAGTCGTTTACAGAACTGAATTATTCATAGCAGTTCTATATTCGATTTACAAATACTTATTTCCAACTGCTCTACCAACAAATTTCAAAGTCATTTACGTTGAAATACGACGGTCGTAACGGCGGACGTAATACGTTGGTCGGGTTTATGTCAGAATACGACGAAATACTATAGTATACGTCGGTCGGTTGGTCGAGAGATGAAGTTAGACGTCTGAATCAAAAAGCAATGGATTGACGAATAAAGTTTTAAGTTTTCTCTTTTCTTTGGTTTCCCTGATGTATTGCTTAATGATATAAAGACCTGTGATGTAACAGTCTTAAGTAATAGAGAAACGTCAGACTTTACGTGATATTAAGATATTTAAAACTCACTCGTCTGACGGCGCTACTTGATCGTGATGGTAAGATGAAACTAAATGTGATATCACACTATTTTGTTGTCGCCGAAGAGAACTTGGCGAACTTTGATTATGATTCAGTGAGGATTGAATTCGCGGACCATCCAGTGTACGAATATCATTTTTTATAATATTACTCTTAAACTGTGAAGTGGATGGTACTAGTGCGGGTTCTAATACTCTCTTTCTTTGTTTTGATATTACTCGATCTCGTGGTCGTTGTTTGAGTTTGAGACCATGAGAGCAACCTGTTCCCATATCAAATATAGGTAAAAATTATCTAAAAAAGATAATTTGTTTCTGCGAACGAAAAAGATAAGAACTGAAAGAGTGGAATTGTCATAGTTTTACATCTGATAACTGATACAGACTTGAAAGAACAACTGTCTTGCTCTCGTTCAAGGTATAATATTCGTATGTGGGAATGTTACTATCAGCTAGCAGAAGTTGTTACTTAAGGATTTGTACTGTGTTCTCGTTTGTTTTTGATTTTATTTAATAAAAAAGTGAAGAAAAACGTGAACTGTACATATCCGTGGTATTAAAAGAATTGATCACATAGAAAGAAGAAAGAAAAAGTTGACAATATATTTGGAGTTATAGAAGAAATAGACTAGACGGTACAGCATTTTAGAACCGTTGACTCATGTCGATTTCAAATAACTTTTTTTTGAGCTGTGATAAAAAAAAAATTTGGAGGTTTTTTTTGGAAAGACAATGTTTTGTCTAATTCTAATTTATTTCGTCTAGTTTAATACATGTTACACATATGGAATTGTTGGTCATTTCTATGAGGCCGTTTGGCACTTTAACTTTTGCTTCTCAACTACGCGTTTAAAGAGTATCTCTTATCAGAATGCCAAATTCTAGAAAAATGTTTTCTCTACAAAAAAGAGTTTCTCTACAAAAAGTTTTCTCTACAATTCTTCGGATTGTCAAACACTTACTTGAATCTGTACACAAAATTTACATGTCAAAAAGTAGTCGTTACTTTCTCGACACTGGTTACAAAGATTTTTTATCAATTACATCTGACTGAAGAAAACTTTAACAAACCTTTGAAAGATCTCGTTCTGTAAAGTAAACATTTTTTTTACAATTTGACGTTGGAATCAGACATTTTAAGGACCCTTTTCCCGGGAGGTCCTTAAGGGCAAAATGAATCGAGAAAGTATTTAGTACCAAACAGTATCGAAAGCGGAACGAACAATTTCCTCGTTCCACATAATGAAAAAATATCAGCTCAAATAGAAACATGTTTGTAGGGCAGATAGAAAATCTATTACTGTTGCTGAGAGTACGACTGAATTAGGTACGTTGTTCCATTCTTCGATTATTCCTATAAGAAAAGACTGTACTAAAACATCTTTCGTATAATCATGAGCTGGAACATGAGAGAATTTTCCATTGTTAAAGTTTGTTGAGCTTGTGCCAAAAGGCATAGAAAAAGCTGGCTGGAACGCTTGGCTGATTTTCACATATTTTATGAAGATATTTTAGTCATACTATTTTTCTATGATATTCGAGTGAGTTTATCCATCAATGTATGACATTGTTTTCAACTTTTACAAGAATTTGATACGTGAAAAATAGTTATTATGAAAGGTTTGAGTGTATATGTTGTAGGCAAACTTAAAATTCAGTCAAATTTAAAATCTGCCTAGGCAGAATTAAAATTTTAATTCGGCCTAGGCAAAACTAAAATTCTAATTTTGACTAGAGATTCGCTAGGCAAAATTAAAATTTTAATTATGACCAGGCAGATTTTAAATTTGACTAGGCAGAATTAAAATTCTAATTTTGACTAGGCAAATTTAAAATTTGACTGAAAGTTCGTTCTCTAGACAAAATTGAAATTCTAACTCTGACTAAATATAAGTAGGCAAAATTATAATTTAACATTATTTTCATAGAATGTTGGGTTTAATCTTAACTGGCATTGTGCGTCTAAGACATCCTAACATAAAGTGAACAATAATAGGTTTCTACTCCCTTCGACGATTTTTCCCGTAACCCAATGACAATGACAAGTATATCTATCGAATAAATTTAACACGAGACTTTTTTTTCTTACGTTTGTATCAAAGGCAGAAAGGCCAACTAATGCTTTTGTTCTTGTACTAGTAAGGTACTTTGTTTATTTTCTGTTCTATACACTGGATGTTGACTACAAGCTATGGCGTCACATTATACTTTAGAAAGTCAGTCCTTTCTAGAGTGACGTAAAATTCTGTATATAAGCTAGAGGGAATGTGCATGTTTGGTAATTTCAACGTTACACATCGTCTTTTAATAAAATGTCTATCACTACTACTACATCTTCTTCGTCTTCGGATCCTGTCGTTGGTACTGCTGAGAAACTTTTCTACGACGAGCTCAATGAATGTTTGAATTCATTGAACAGCAAATTTCGAGAAAAAGCTGTCATCAAAAAAGAAACTTATGATTGTGAGGATATAGATCCTCTAGTGGCTAACTCTAATCGTAGTAGTGAAGCTATAGTGAGAATCAACTCTCACTCCGATCTCTTTATTTGAAGCAAATGAACAGCTATATATAGTACAAAGTTAAACAAGAGTTGCTCATGAATTACATAACAACAGAAATAGTTAGGAAGATCACAGACTGACAAAAGTGTTGCGCAAGAACAGAAAGAGTGGGAAAATACTTTGCGGAAGGAAACGAAAAGGAAAGAATGAAACAAGAGTTGCGCAATAACAGAATTGCGCAAGAATGGTACAAGAGCAGAATGGAGAGAGAATGAACCTTATGAGCTGCCGGGGAAGGCAGATCATAACACCTCCCCGGCCCAATAAAGATGCGCGCCCCGCGCATCAAGAAATTCGGTAGTACAATGAGAGAAAAATAAAAAACAAAAAACAAAAAAACGACGAAAACATAAAAGAAACCGGATATGTACAAGGTGGGCCGCCTTTTGTCGCCGAATCTAATTGATCGTCGAGGCGAAGTGCCCGTTTGAGCTTCGAGTTGCCACCCCTCGAAGTCGCTTTGACTTGCCCTATAGTCGACGGTGTAGTTGGTCGAGGCAAAGTCATTGGCAGAAACCTTTGGTTGCCACCACCGAAGGCCGAGTGTCGAGTTGCTCGAAGAGGGTAATTGCCATCCCTCGAGGAAACACAGAATGCCGCACGCCATGGTGCCATTCTTGCTTCTTCATCAGAACTTCGTCACTCGGGCCAAAGGTCATCCGATGACTATCTCTCAAGGCGTGTGCATCTCCAGTCTATCAGTACCACACGCCTCTTCTTCATTTTCTTTTGATTTGTCTTGTCGACGATCGATGCCTGTTTCATTATTCACATATCAAGATCCAAGTCGAATGCCGTGTATACGTTCCAGGAGCACGGGAGACGCTCATGAGATATAATCACAAGTCGACTCCGTTATCGATCATTGTGCGATTCAGCTAAGGTACCGCCAAGGTTTGGAACCAGTCCCGATCGTTTATACCATATGACAGCATATTTCGGTGCAGGGACCCAGCAATTTTACTGGTGAAGATCAGGTGAGAAACGACAGACGCAAGCATTAGGCTGACGAATATGAGGGTCTTCGAAACAATGTGAATCAGACTAGATTGATGAACACCCGAGGTGAATGGCTCAGTGGAAATGATTGCAGATGATCGTAGAAACGTGATCGAAAAGACGCACAACAAGAGAAATCCGCCGAGAGCAGACATATTCTTGTAATGTAGGTTGCGTGGAGGGATGCTACGTCTGAGCATGCCTGAAGACGCAACGTCCGCTGCCATGAGTCTATCATAATCGCAGAGGGATAGATGCGAGGCGGGCGACGCTGGTACAGCAACTTGATAATCATTCAGCGCCTGTTGCTTGACTGATTCGACGAAATATTCCTGCGGTTCCAGTAGGATATCGAGCTGTTGATTGTGAGCGATGAAAGATAGAGATTCAACAGGCGGTGGTAACCTGATACAGACACATTCAGATGATGGTCGTTGCCCAAGATGTTCGACGATGTTGGATGTTGAAATGGGCAGCGTTACTTGCTGCTCAGACTGAACGAACTTGATGCGCTGTGGCAGCTTATCGTG